GTCTTGATGTTTTTCCAAAAAACGGAGGGACCTGCAGTTTATACTAAGCCGCCTCCGAAAGCGCCATCTTTTGTTATGAGGAGCTTTTATTTCATGTCAGAAATACCCTCGGAGTGGTTGACATTCCTTGCCGAGGGGCTGCCGTAATTAGAAAATTTAACGATATTTAAATGAAATTTAATAGAAATCTACGAACACGAATTTTTTTAAACGGTTTTAAAAAAACTTCTTTTTTACTGGCGTACACGTGATTGTAGCCGAACTTATAAAACTTTTTCTCTCCGTTCATCACCAATTGAATTTACCAAGTATTGTCAGGTTGCTCTCCATCTGGTCTTTCCAACACATTGGAGGTCTTCCTCTTCCTTTGCGGGTACTGCATCGCAAACTTTCAGAACTGGAGTGCTTTCATCCATTCGGACGGCAGACCTAGCAACTGTAGCCGGCTCCGCACCATAAAAATCTTTACACATCTCAAATTGGAAGAGTAGCTCAGCCGAAAGTCATTTAGCGGTTATAACGGTTAAATAAGATATTTAGTCAAAAGGGATATGAAAACAAACAAAGCTCGGAAAATAAAAGTGCAGTTCTTATAGAAACAGTACAATAACAAACACACGCTTTTGAAATTCACGTTCTTCAAATTATAGTCCGATAGTTCATTTAAATTGTTATTTAGTTATAATGCTGCAACTGCCCATTTAACATACCTTCCGTCCATAACACCCGACTGGAAGAGCGTTATGCATATCCGACTTATCGACGCTACTGACAGCGGCGAAATATTGCCAGCTGCCAGTGTGTTTGTTTGCACACATTTGAACAAATTTATAATTTTTGTCAACGAATTTCATAATTTATATGCTTGAATATAAACACCAATCCAATCATATATGATCTATATGGTAAAAAATAATTAATTACGAATTTAGTTCTCATTTTCTTAGTTTATTTAATATTAGTTTAAAAAATCAATACTGGCAACCAAGTATAGCAACGAAAAATGAGCCGAGCCGGTTTTACGGGAAAAATAAAATCACCGGTGGTTTCTGCGGAACAACCGTCAGTAGCGGCATGGGAAGCGGTGACAACTTTGTATTCACATGGCGTTTTCATAAGATCGGTTGCTATGGATGGAAGGTATGTATGATGCAGGTATTTGCAGCCTGATCTGCATATGAGTAAAGAAAATTAAAAAAATAAAACTATTTTATTAATTTCATTGCATTTCAAATTCAATTCAAAATCGCGGCAAAAAATAAATTATTTTTCTATAAATATATACATCTGTATCAGGTGTACAACTTTGCTTTCGCGTTTTTTTTTCCAAAATTAAAAGCTTTATTGCGAAAAAGTGCTTACAGGTATATTTTTCAAAGTATTGTCCTTCGCTAGCGACAACTTTCTCCCATCTTTCCGGCAATTTTCGGATACCGCCTCGAAATAAAGAGTCCTCTTTCGAAGCTATCAAATTCTTCGAAGGATTTAAAATGTTGATCTGCCAGGCCGTGTGCCATCGAACGGAATAGGTGGAAGTCAGAAGGGGCGACATCTGGGGAATACGGCGGGTGGGTCAAGACTTCCCATTTCAGCGTATCCAGGTACTTTTTGACCACTTTTGCGACGTGAGGCCGATCATTGCCGTGTTGGAGGATGACTTTGTCATGTTACTCTTGATATTGTGGCCGCTTTTCTTTTAGCGCCATCCATGTCTGTCCAACCATGTTTGTCTTCAACATTATTATCTATGTATTTCAACTAGCCATACACAATTTGAAGAAACCCTTTTTTTCATAAAAATAATTAAATACTAATTTAGTACAATAAAGCAAAAACTCAAAAACTTCAAATTCAGCGCTGTCTTCCATATTTTATAAATAAATAAAGTTATAATAAATAAAGGGTATTTTTCTTACATACCCATATGTGATGAATTAGTTCGAGCGATATATACAGTTATAATGAAAGTCAGAAAAATTGTCCGATTTCCAGGTTTCCATAGCTGCATAATTCACTTTGAAAAAATATGCATTATGTGACAATTCGACAAGTTATGCATGAACAGAAAAATAAAACCTTATCCCAAAATACCGTTAAAAAATGATGTTCAGTCTCTAAACTAAATCTATGTTGCCCTTCCATCCTAAATCAGTAAAAATTTCATATAAGGAACTAGTTATAAAAAAAGTGTGAAATAACATTATCCTGCAATTTTTTGAAGACTTCTTCCAATTTATAAAGTAACTTCGTAATATTTATGCTTTTCACGCAAAACGAGGGAACTAAAGATTGATGTCGCTACAGGACGACTCGAGGAATATTTATTTAGTTTTAATTTCAATGAAAAAACTATGTGGAGGTTTGGCTGCTCTCTGCCGGAAAAAGAATTACTTAAAATAAAGCTGTGAACTGAGATATTATAACTTACAATATTATGGGGCTAAATTAAAAAGTTATCTTCATCATTCTCACATATGCAATTTTCCACTGTAATTCTTCAAAATAAAAAGATTTATAATTTGTTATGCTCAAGAAAATTAGCAAATTGATATTAATAAAAATGGTATTGCTTGAATAATTTCGACTAGTAAGTACAGAATTAACTATGGACATACGTTAATATTTTTTTCTACAGAATGAATGTGGTAGTATCAGCCATATACAAGTATGTAGCATATCAATTCTATATCCCAACTGTAGAATGTAAAATGTAAAGTAACAAATTAAAAAAGTTTTTCTCCAAATACTTCTTTGGAATTAAAAGTGCAATGTCTTCTTCATTCATTAGAGGTAAGGCCTACCGCCTACTCTTATCAATTGCTTACTTGCAAGGCGTAATCTCTGTGTTAAAATAGTGACTTATAGAAACCAACATGGAATCGCTTCAAATTTATTTTTATATTCTCATTTCCAGTTTCATTTATGAAGTAAACGACTTTTTTACTGTATTTCTCAGAAAATATAACAACAACATTAACAAAAGATTACATTGTAACAGTTACCTCTCGAGAATCATTTAAACCGGGGAATTGCGAATGGAGATTTTCAACGAGAGTCGAGCCGGGACGCATAACATACGCCCAATTTGATCTCCTTAGGTGGAATAGCAATGAACACATGATTACACAGATGTTGTAAATAAGTCTGATAACAGGAAGAGCAGATTTATCAATTTTTCTAACATTAATTTTCAAATATATAAAAATAGATTTTTGTAAGTCCCCTTATTTACCATAACACTAAAGTACCCTTTAAGAGGTAATGTATATGTACATATATATACATACATACATGCATGCACAGGTAGATAAGAGTGAACCGTTGCTACGCTTGTGGCCCATATTTTTGCCTCAAGACACTCGTATCAATTTATAAAGTACAGAGCACAACCCACAACCTCCGTTATGCTGGCACCTGTTGTTGTCGACGGCACGCAATTCCAAACTGTGCTGGGCACTAGCGCCGATGCTATCAATTTTTAGCGGGCGCTTAACAATAACTTTAAATGAACCAATTGATCGAAAGCGATTAACCAAATGAAATTCCTTATTTTTCGGCTTTCTCGAATTTCATTTAGCTTAGATATGCATACTTCTTCCATTCTTTTAAGTACGTAGAGTTCGTTAGTAGAGAAATGAGTTTTATTGTTGTATTTCAATTGGTTGGAACTGACCAAATTGAAGTATTATTCAGGGGTAAGTAGGTAATATGCGCTTCACGTTGAAATCGAAATAAGAAATCTGTCTTCTTCATTTAGCCCAAATATATCCGTATTGCCTGTATGTATGTATATATGAATGTACTATATGTGTTTACTTTTTTTTCGTTTTAGATTGCTTGACTCTGTGTGCTTGATTTTATTCAGTTTCCACTCAAGGCCGCACCTCTCTTGCGTACAAACAGTCCCAAAAATACATATGTATGTATGTACTCCGACATACTCGTATGTACATTTCCTATGTTATCGATTGCATTGCGGCCTTGGTGTTGTGAGCATTGCGATTGGCGATGTTGTGAATACAAAACTCCCAAATATTATACCAGAGGTCTGTCAAATTAAAGAATAGTGCAACGACATTAAATTTCACAAATTTTATGTTGAAATAAAAAGTCACGTAGCATACGAAAAATATCTGAATTTTCTATTTATGTGTTTAAAATGCAGACCACACTGTGCCGTGAATATCTGGAAGAAACTCAAAAATAGTTTTTATGGCGAAAAAGAAGCTTCTGATACGAGTTATGTACCGATTAAGGCCATATTTGGCAACCCTGTTCGGGTCCCATGGATCACGTGGAGGGAGTTTTGAGTTTTATTATTCCCTTTGAAATAATTTTTGAACCAAAAAAAGACAGGCAAATTCATATATTAATTTTAAATTTTTGTTTTGTGTGCACTCCAAGGAAGCATCATTACGGCCATCGCTCCAAAAAGGAGGCCGAAAACGCCAAACAAAAATATTGAAAAATAATTCTCGACACCTGGACAATCAAATGACGAATAAAGCAAGCCCCAAATTGTCAGCCGACTAAAAGTCCCACAGAATTGTGTTCAGTCCATGAATTATACAATGCGGCCGTGAAAGGGATGCCTTTTGTAAGATGTAAGAATCCTACTCTTTCCGAACTGGAAAGAATTGGTGAATTGCAAGAATTTCAGTTCAGTTCAGGTTCTAACTATGGGGAATTGCGCTAAAGCGGGCCTCACTGGCAAGAATGGCATCACCGACTGCCTGAGAGCGTCTTCAAATTGTGTGCAAACCAGTGGAGTATAGAGAAACACTTAAGATTATGGAGCAATTCCGACGTAGGTGCCAAACTGATACTGAAAATAAGTACAATAAAACTTGGTTTTATATCACTGTTAGTCATTTGACAGAACTTCCACCCTTGACATATCAATTACGCAAGCTTAGAAAAGAGAAATCATGTGAGGGCAGCGCGTACATACGGGAAAAGGCAATAAGTTGGATATTAATTTTGCGTGAACCGGCCGTCAGTCGATTGGATTAGCAAGTCTCTTACATGTTTACAGATGGTTTTTAGACGATGCAGATGCAGGAGATATAACTTAATGGGTAAAACTTGCAGAATTTTTTTCTAAATTAAAATATTTAAAATTGTTTAATATTTTTCATGTGGGGCTTATCAATTTTTTCAAAATATCTATGGTATAATATATTTCTGGTTAGTATTGCGTACTGCCATTCGGAAGGCTCGAGGACAATCAAAAAGTTATAAAAAATTAATTTAGATAAAAAATTATGCTAATTTTCTAACTGCGATCGGCCCTCGGCAGGGAATGTCAACCCCTTTTGACTGTATTTCTGACATGAAATAAAACTCCTCAAAAAAAACCATCAGCCGTTCGGTGGCAGCTTCATAAAACTAAACTGTAAGTCCAATTATTTAATATATCATATATAATATATTTTTTTCCCGTTTTTCTGATGTTTCACTAGTTTTCAACGGCCACAAGTGCTTTACATGCATACCTAAACTTCAGTAATGAATCTAATCTACGCATTTTTCAAAAAAAGTAAAGAAAAAAATCGAAACTTAATTTAAATATAGACATCTACATTCAGCAGGAAAAAATAAAAAATTTAAACCTGCTTTTGTCATCAAGAACAATTAAAATTTATCTTTATTTATTTTTATTCAAAAAATATACAATTTGTCCTCGAAAACCTCGATTTTCATACGAAATAAGTTCAATAAATATTTAGTAATCATTAATTTGAGCTTTTTGTTCTCAAACATTGCAAGCAGAACTCCATACCTTTCGTAATATTATCCCTTGCCTAGACAACGGTTATGTTACATTGTCGTCAGACATAAAATCGATTCATCCATGCCTTCCTTTATAATTACAATCCACACTAAAATGGTATATGATTTATGCTCACTGCTGCCAAGCGAAGCTTGAATTCGACGAAATTGTAATAGCAACAAATTAAGTTCGGACTTAAATAAATATCAATTGCGAATTGAGATTTTCAACGATCGTGTCGTGCCTTACGGACGTAGCGACGTCGTAGCTAGAACTCATAGATACGCCCAACTTTATCTTCATAGGTGGAATAGTAATATTTATATATGTCTTTATACACCCAATAAGCAAAAGCTTTAGATTTTTTTCAATAATTTAACCCCACTCGTTTTGAAAGGAAAATGTAAATATAATAAAAGCGTAGCAAATGTGTATGTATGTACTAAACCCTTACAAATTACAAGACCTTTACGAATATTTAACATGAAATTCAAAAAACAAAAAATCCACATACTTCCTAGAAAAATGCATATCAGAAAACGTTCTTACGAGTGAACGTATATTCATAGTGACGTGTGTACGTAAGAACTAGTCAGAAGTATGAATTATGATACAACATATTAAGCTCGAAATACTATGGGGTTTGTTGGGTAAACAAATGCATAGTTATGATATTTCGACAAGAATAAATTTTTAATTTCTTATTGACACCCTTCGGCAGTGGGTGGGCGCCACGAACAACTGAGGTCATGAACAAGTGTCATATATGCACAGGTCTAGAGTGATTGCACGCAGTCTGTACGCCATAAATGCAATCGCCATATGATTTTGGTACGATGCCTTTCGATATACAAACGTACATAAATTTATTATATTTATTAAATCTGTATGAATGCGTTTCGCTGTGGGCCTCTTTTACGGGCTACGTGCCATACTTCTGAGTAAAATAGGCGTAGTTGATGGTGAATTGATGTGTTCAATGGTTTCGCTACAAGCTTTAGTTTTAGCAAAGGCACATTTGGCATTTGTAAACGCAACATAAGACTCAAGGCACGTACTCGATTTCGTACTTCTCAAATGTAATCCAATGCAACAAGACGGTCATACGAGCAGTGTATTAGTAGTCTAGAGCGTAGCAGTGCAAAATCAAAAGAGCCAAAGAGTGTTAGTTCAAATCCTGGTCAAATTAACATCTAAAAAAACCTGCCTGGGCACCCCATCTGAAAAGCTTAACAGAAGCTTTATTCCAGTGAATTAGATAAACAGAACACTAGAACACTTTACATTAAATGAAAATAAGTGCAGCCATAGATACATATATACCATATTAAGAGAACAGCATTCTCAAAACCCTCAATTTGGGCACTATGATTTGCTTTCCGCTTTTACTCATAAGTGTAGCTCTCAAGTGGTCGGTGAAGCAATGAACTTAAAGTCTCTTATAAATGCTATACTCGGGGGGCTTGGTTAGGATCATTCAAAATCTTGCTTGTTGGCTTGTATAGTTTCTCACCAGCATCAGAAATGGCTGAAACACGCCGGTTCCTAAGAGGTGTTGCTTTGCCTTCCAAACCCACCTTGAGCACACTTTAGCTCCACCGGTTTTGAATAGTCCTAGAGCTCATATTTCTTATTGAGCTCATCACCGAATTCTTCCAAAAGTCATCGGGCTAGATAAAAGCATTTAAGGGTATTATTTAAAACTATATTTACGGTAGATATTGTTCTTACCAGGTTAGTCCCTCAACTGCAGCGGGAACTATTGAATTTGGTCGCCTCTCATGACAAGCATGCCTCACCGCATGTTATTAGATATAAAAAGGTTAGTCTATATTATAAGAAAAAAATAATTTTTCGAAAGATCATATAATCATTGGTCAGAAGATCCAATCATTGATAAAAGAGAAACCATCATTCACTAGATTCTTGAAACATAACATTATATAAGTAGATCGGTAAACATTAGCTAATTCGTTTTAAACTTTTACTAAAAGATGCATACAAATTTTCCATATTTCATGAGGATTCGCATATTTTAAAAATTTTTTTTATACAGAATTAATTTATTTACTGGATCTGCTTAATATAAGCCTAACAGTAAGTGTACAAATCTTAAAAACTAAATTGCAAACATGATAGCTCGAGTTATTTAACTCTGAGCCCTTTTCAAGCTACGGGCGGGAATTTCTCGATGGGTTGTATAGAGCATTAGCTAGCGGATTTGGATGATTTCTTAGCTTTGTGAAGTACTTCGTCCTGTTTCTTTCAATTTCAGGCTTAACCAGGTTAATACCAAGATCTTGATGAATGTTAACGTTACGTGGTGCGCCCGTACTATGGTGCGCCCGTAAGTGCTCTTAAAATTTTATACTGGAACCTCTTATTGCAGGACATGATTGAGGTCTTAAAGTAAATGTGATGTGTTTACACTTTTGTTCATTAACTTTGATTTTCCAGTTTTTTAGCTATTCTTCGATGAGGAGTTACTGATCACTAATCGTTTTTGCTGCTCTTTTAGGGCATTTATCCCGGCATGAAATAGCTGTGTCATCCGCAAAGGTAGATGTCTGCACTTTTCGGTTTAAAGGGATGTCTGTCGTGTATATGATATACAATATAAAAAATAGGCCCGAGGACGCTACACTGCGGAACACCCGCTTTTACCGGATACTCCTCAATGATAAATTCAGATTGTTTAATGGTAAATTGTCTGCTAGTCAGATATGACTTAAGTTTCATATAAAATTGAACAGGCATAGCTTTATGTATTTTGTACAGTAAACCTTTATGCCAGACTTTGTCGAACGCTTGTGCTACGTCAAGAAAGACTGCGCAACAGTACTCCTTGAGCTCGAATGCCTTTCTGATTTCATTAGTTATTCGGTTAACTTGTTCAATAGTACAATACAATGCTTTTCCCGAATTCCGAATTGGTGATCTGGTACCACATTGTTACGGTGGAGAGAAGGAGATATTTTTGATAGCAGAATTTTTTCAAATAACTTGGAAAGACTGGGTAGTAGGTTTGTTGGTCTGTAAGACGCCGCCTGTGTATGGTCTTTGCCTGGTTTGGCTATCATTAATATCTGCGACTTTTTCCACGCGTTTGAAAGTAATTTAATTTTGGAATGGCATTAAAGAGTTCAGAGAGCAATGCTTGTGCAACTCTTGGCAGCTCTATTAGCATTTTAGATGTTTGGGTTCAGTTTCTGTATCGCGTTTACCACTTCTAGGCTTGATATTTTAATTGCCACCTGATTTTCCTGGCCGTTAATAGCAAATTCCGGCAGAATAAATTTATTAGTTGCGTCATTTTGCTGGAATACATTACTTAAATGCTTTGCAAAGCAATTTTAAAAATGAAGATCACAAATCAATTCCATAATAAGAGATTAATGCGGAAGGTACAAATTGTTGTTACTAACTCATCCAACTCGTCCAACAAATTTGCGGTTTTAGTCTAATAACTAAATGCAAAAGCAGATAGGAAAAGGAAAATTTTAAGAAATGTCGCGGAAAAGTAGTCACAAAGATTTGGCTTTGCAGAATGTAGATTTTCATCGGTGTGACTCTTCAAAGAAAGAGAGTCAACCAGCCATTCCTATAATCTGCGTGCCTTGATGTTTCCCAATATATGGACGAACATACAGTTTGTTTCCAAGCCGCTTCCGATCTTCTTACGGATTTTAATAAAAAGCTTTTGATTTTAAGTCATAAATGGAATTCGTGGGGTTGATGTAAGGAAATTTTGTTATCTTGAGGCCTTTGAAGACGATAGTTGTCAGCAGATTTAGGCCAGAGTTTGCTCAATGTAATGCCTCGATATAAACTTGTCTTTCTTTCCGCCCACTTGAATTCCTTGTGAATTTCTAATGAAGTTCAAAAGCTATGCGTTTGCCTCCATGATTCCAATTTCCTCTTCAGCTTTTCCTTTAGTTATTGTATTACCGGAGTCTTCGACGGTTGATCTTATTGACCAGCGTTAAAAATTTCCTTACCGGGAATCTTATATTTCCTGTTCCAATTTCCATTTTGTGCCACTATTTATTATTCTACATTGATGCCGCTGGGGAATGAAATCCACCAGAGTAGCAGCCTCATCTGAGTCCTCCAAGACAACAGATTTTGCACCATCTAATGGTATGTCGTTCTACCCGTTTTTTTTTTTTTTTTTTTCAAACACCAAAATTAAATTTCTTCAGAAATACCCTGAGAGACTCCAGAGCCCTCCAATCGACTCAAAACTCGTTAATTTCTTTATGTTATTTAACCAATATAAATGGGCATTAAACAATGTATGAATGCTCAAAAATTTGGAAAATTAGAAACCTAGAAAATTCCGAATAAAATGTATGTAAATAGCAATACTTTTACTGCATTTGGTATTCCTTGGTGTTGTAATGGCGGTTATGCATATTTCCTACACATGCGTTTAATGACGCTTGGACATTTGGTATGT